ACCATCACATCTTACTTTTTCCCATCACATCAGGGGCAAATTTGGAAAGTCAACCAAAATTACACTTTCCTTATTTTTCCCCAAAGTCAAAAACGAAAGGGTTTTGTGGAACGGGAGGAGTATATTGCATTGCACCACCGGATGACACCAGCTGGTCATACAACAACAACCCAGTTAAATCCCACAAGAGTAGGGTCTGGGAGGGTGTGTGTACGCAGACCTTGCCCCTACTCGAAAGTAGAGAGGCTGTTTCCAAAGAGACTCCCGGCTCAACGTTGAAAGTTGCATTGCTTGACTAACTGCTACTTCATTAATTAAAGAAACGTAGACAGTTTAAAGATCCAGTTTAATTTATTCCATCACACCCAAAAAAATTAGTTAGTTATAGGCACATAGTAGTAGGCACAATCTAGAGGAAGTGACAAAATTACAATTAACGGTTTATAATTATGAGCAGGTTAGGAAGGGAGGGAGGGCGTATTCGTCAAAGGCTAGATGTCACGTGTCATTTCCACTCCATCTGCGACATGACGCATGGCTCAGTACCGGACGACATTATTCATTTACATAGTAAAATGAGACCTCAAACATGAATAAAACAAATGTGTCTTGAGATCAAAGTCTAATTTATTTTTTTCATTGATTGTTTAGTAAACTCTGAAAATGCTATTGGGGATTGGAGTAATCATTTTTTAATATGAATAAAACATACATAAAGTATCAAAATAAGATTATCATATTTTTATTTTCAAAATAAGAGTTTGCTATGTGAAATTAAAAATACAAAAATCCTATTTTAATATATTTTTAATGTTGTACTCTTGTTTTAGTAATTTTTCCTATTTGAAAATAAAAATACAAAAATCCTATTTTAATATATTTTCAATGCTGTACTCCTGTTTTAGTCATTTTTCCTATTTGAGTAATGCTAGAAATTCACTATGATTGCTTCCACAGATGATAAATATATACGATTTTATTTATACACAGACCATAATCATCTGTTAACACACATCATTCATGTATAATTATATGATTGTCATCCATATCCATGGAGGCAATTGTTGTGGGTATGCTGACCCATTCATTTAAGGCAAGGAGATTTATGAAACAAAACACACTCGGATTTAATGATGGATTGTTGTTGTCGACCGGCCCTAGTACTCACTCACATGGCTCAACCTATTCCTATTACCTCATTCCTCCTCTTTTCTTCTTCTTCTTTTTTCTTCTTCCATATTTGACCCACACCCTTTATCTCATCCCATTTTAGATCTTACTTGGTGAATTTTTTTGGGTCAATGCTAGCAGTACCCCATTTTGGTGCACCTCTGGTTTTATTTTTTTTATACTCTGTAGTTTTTGATTAAAAATTGTGTAAAACAGAAAATATTAATTTTTTTGATCATTTTAATTAAAAATTCAGACATAAATATAAAACATATAATATAAAAAATTTTACACAATAAGAGGTGATAATTAAGAATATTTATTTTATCAAACAGTCAATGAAAATGCACAAATAGAGAAATATATTCGTGATGTTGGAATACTAAACATTGTAATTAATTGTGGGGCGTAGGAAATATGAACTTTGAAATTTCATAAAGTATATATGGATTCAACAAGTAAAAGACACTCCGTGTCAAAACTCGAGATATTATTAAATAGAGAGTTTTCAAAATATTAATAGTTGGAAGGGTTGTGATACTTCGTGTTATTAAATCTGAGTCGTGTTTGGAATAGTAGAAACTTATTTTTCTCAAATACAGAATAGGTTATATTATACTGAAGCCATTCTTATTTTTTAATTTATATTTTTATTGACTATAATCACTTTGCGTTTTAGTAAAAATTAATAAAATACAAAAAAACCATTTTTTTGCACATACTCAATCTTACCGCCACAAATGTATTTTATGAAAGATTTAATTTTTCTATAGATTTTAATTAGGAGCACACACATTGTCGAACATGTAGTTTTCTTCCATTGTAATTTTTTAAAATGACTCATTGATACAAGACAAAAAAGTTTTGAGAAATTTACCTAAATAGGACTAAAACATAATGATTTTCCCAATATAGGACCATATGTTTTTATTTTCCAATGTAAGACTTTTTGTCATTATCAAGTAGTCATTATTCAAGTAAATGTCTACTATTACAGGGACATTATTCCTCACACTAAGTCATTATTAAGTCCTATTTAGGGAATAAAAAAGTTTAAGTCCTACATTAGAAAAGTCATTATGTTTTAGTTCTATTTAGTGCAAATTTTCACAAAAATGTTTTGGTACAATAATTTTATTTTTACGGAAACCACATGCACTATCAAAATGAATCCTAAATGATGGGCCGAACAGGCCACAACGAGCGGGACTGTGTAGCATGCGCTATTCAAAAGGATCGGCCCATATCCTCCTTAACAAACAGGCCACGAAAAATCTGCCTCGTCTTATTTATATATTTGAAATTGGGCTTATAATATTTTAATTCAAAACTGCGTCCAAAAGAGTATGATTATCATACAACTAAACCTATAATTTGTGTTAAAAAAACGTATAATTTGATTTTAAGTTAATACTCCATTCATATTTGTGGGTTTAATTTTAATCCAATGCTAGCATTTAGACAAACGGGTCGAATAATTAGTTGAAAAGAATAATTCTAGATATATTTCAAAATTGAATTACATCCCCAATACACCCTAGAACTCAATTTTACGCATGATAATCTTTCGATAAGTTGTATGTTTAACCATAGTAAAAAGAGTTATACACCAGTCATTAAAATCATTTCACTACCCGCCTGAATAGTAAATTGAGAACGGTAAAATTGAGGCCTGAGTTTAAATTCACATTTTATCCTTGAAACTTATCGGGTAATAAAAGTGAGGAAATCAAGAATAAAACATAGAAAAATACCAAAATAGGAGTTCCATATTTTTATCCACAAAATTGGAGTTTACAATGTAATAATGTGACACTATATATGAATATTTTATAATATTTTTTGGTACTATATATTGACGTGATTGACACCTTATACATACTTTAAATCATATTCTAGGAATAAAAATATGAAACACTTAATTGAATAATAGTATATTTTTTTATATTTTGGTGGGCCAAAGATGGACCTTAGAGCATAAAAAGTACTCGTACTTTACAAGAACCCCCAAATGATAAGGGTGGGTTTGTGGGTGCAAGAGGGCCTATGTGTCCCATGGAGTGGACAATTGTTAGAAACCCTTAACCACCACCACTTACCAACCTATAATTGCCCACACCCTAACCCCACCCACCCACCACTGCACAGCTCTGGTCTCCTCTTCTTTTCAATTTATTGGCACCATATCTCTCTGATCTCCACTTCCAATTTTCAGCAGAATTTAAATAAAACCAAATCAAATAATTTGGAGTAATTAATTTAAAAATAAAAAAAACCCACACCAAATTCGATCTAACATCCAATTGTCAAAGCTCAGCTTGACTTGACAATAACGAGCCGGCATGTATTGATAATCAGATTGGCCCAAGGAACCCTCTTAGGCCCGTCCGGCTAGAGCCCAAAGCATCCCCACACCCCGGCAAATGACCAATGTTTTGAAAACCGGACCGGATGTCGATCTAGACGAGCTACTGGGTCAAGAGTTGACCATTCGAATCGGTCAAACCGGGAGTCAGCGACTCGATCAACGGTGTTTATACTAATAAATATTATATTAATATTATATATTAGATATTTTTAGTCAATAAAAATATTTTAATTTTTTCTTTTATTTTTCTATTTAGTTTTTAATATTATTGTGCATATATTATTTCACACCTTCTATATTTTATTCTATGATTTTTATTATTATTTAAACTAATAATGAATATCTAATAAATACTTAATAACAAGGTGATACTCATATTTTTTTTTAAAGTAAAGACTAAAAAATGTGATCTTGTATACAATTGACATTTTAAACTTTATGTTTATTAGAATAAAATGATTGAAAAAAATAAAAAAAAGTAGCATATTAAATTTTAATTGATAAATATTACTTGGTTTTTAAAAATAGCAATAATTTTCAAGTATAGATTATATGAATTATATTTATTTTTGAATTAAATTTAAATAATTCTCAATTTTTGGAACTATTTTAAAAGTTCATAAAGTGAGTAAGATGCACAATGCAAAAAAAACTTACGGGCTACAGTTTGTAGTTAGTTCATTTTATATGCGACATGTGTAAAACAATAAATACGTAGTATGTAACATTGATGCCTATACATTACCACAAAAACTGTTTGGCTCACTTCGCTTACCACTGCTGAGGTAGGTACAACGATTTTGGATTCGAACCGCACTGGCATTCTAAACTTTACAACATTAAAATTTCATAGAAAATGTGGTTTTCATTCAAATCCAAATTCAAAATTAACTTGGGGTTACAATTAAAGGAGGTGGAGGGAGTGTTCGGGTCGAGGCGGGATGAGGGATTACCGGGAGGATTAGGAGGTAGGAACCGTCAATTTTACGAACGTGATATCAGAGTGCTTCCAAGTTATCTCATGATACAGTGTTTCAATATCATGAAAAGACAAGGCAAAATATCATTTTATATTGGGGAATTTACTCAAATCATAATGATTTTCTTTGAATAGCACCACATGTGTTTTTCATTCGAATGTAGCACTTTTAATCATTATGCATTAGTCATTATTTAAATAAATATTTACTATCATTGAACATTATTAAATGATATTTAGGGAATGAAACAGTTTAAATGCTATTTATAGAAATGACTTAAGTTTTAGTATTATTTAGTACAATTTTTTTTTATATTATCAAATTTCCGTTCCTCTCCAATCAAAGGAAAGGAAATACTTTTTTTTTAAGGGAAATTTCTCAAATTGCTGATAACCCTTTTGATATTATGGTACGTTCATATGCTATGGTGTGCTTCGTCTCTTTGTTCCGTCCTCATGTAGGGCGCATATCTATTTAAATTAAAATAGGGCCTAATGAAGACCAACCATGAAAATGTGTTTTGGGTTACAATATTTTTAACATGAATTCCGATTCGTTGCGTTAAAGAAACTTCAAAAAAAAATACGCACGAAAATCTAGAGCAGAATATAATGATTTCATGCCTCAAATGTCTACTACTACTAGTACTAAATCTTGCATGCATTGTACGTTCATATGCTATGGTGTTGAAGTTGCACTAGTCTTGAATAGCAACTTTCCGGCCGCCCGACGAGCTCCGAGTGGCTCCCTTTCTCGACTATCCGACCGTCCTGCACCACCCCGATGCAGTCCACGTTCCTAATCGTCGACAGCCTGTGGGCCACCACTACCGTCGTCCTACCCTTCATCACCCTCTCGAGCGCCTCTTGTAGGACGCTTTCCGACTCCGCGTCTAGCGCGCTCGTCGCCTCGTCCAATAATAGTACCGCCGGGTCCTTCAGGACCGCCCTCGCGATCGCAATCCGCTGCTTTTGTCCCCCCGAGAGTTGCACTCCCCGCTCCCCGACTTGCGTCTGGTACCCTTCCGGCAATCCGCTTATGAAAGCGTGCACGTTCGCCGCCCGGGCCGCTTCTACCGCTTCCTCCTCGGTTGCCCCTTCTTTGCCGTACGTTATGTTTTCGAAAATAGTAGTGGCGAAAAGCACGGGCTCTTGTTGGACAAGACCTATCTTTAGCCTTAGAGACCTCAGCTTCAGCCTCTTTATATCCCTCCCGTCGATCATCACTTTCCCGGCCGTCGGGTCGTAGAACCGCAGGATCAGCGCGATGACCGAGCTTTTCCCGGACCCGCTAGCCCCGACGAGGGCTTGGCTCTGGCCAGCGCGGATCCTGAGGTTCAGGTCCTTGAAAACGCACACGTCGGGGCGCGACGGGTACGCGAAGTCCACGTGGCGGAGCTCGACGTCGCCCCGGACCGGCCCCGCGGGGTCCGCGTCGGGATCGTCGGGGTCGATCGCGGTGCGGCGGTCGAGTATGGAGAACACGGAGGCAACGGACTCGCCGCCCCGGACGATCTCGGGAGCAAGGCTGACGGTCTCGGCGACGGAGTTGGCGGTGACGACGAGGACGACAAAGACCTTGATGACCTTTGAGAAGGTCGACGAGCCGTGGCTGACGAGGCGGACGCCGTACCACAAGATGAGAGCCTCGGAGGAGTATAGGGCGAGCTGGGAGAGGCCGAACAAGAAACCGGACAAGTGGCTGCGCTTGAGGCTTTGTCTCTGTGGGACTTTGAGGTGTTGAGTAAATTGGAAGAGAATATTCTGTTGGGCGTTGAATGCCGCCACCGTCCGGATGTTGCTGACGCCTTCTCCGGCGATCATGCTCGTCTTTGCATGGGCTTTTGCCGTGTCTCCGGCGAACCCTTTGAGTGACAGTTGCTGCAAACATGCAAAGGAACCCCAAATATAGATTTACTCCAATAGTGAAAGAATTTATTTAAATAGCACTAAAATATAATGACTTTTTCTATTACATGTGTTTTTTACTAATGTAGCATTTTTAGTCATTATCCATTAGTCATTATTCAAGTAAATATTCGTCATCACTAGACATTATTAAGTGCTACTAACACATGTGATGTTTTTAAAGAAAGTCATTATGTTTTATTGTTATTTAAGTAAATTCTCCAAAATTTTTACAGTAACACCACCCATGAAATTAAAGTTGACAATTTTTTTTGTCTAAAAATAGGTTTCTGGGATGAAAACATGATGTTAATTACCCACTTCCCACCAATGAAAGAGTGAAAAAAAGAGGATTGTGTTCAAACGTGTCACGGGTAAAGAATCTCTCTGCCATAATTAATGATGTGTATCTAATGAGGATTTTGAAAAGAAGCAAAAGCTAGGACGCAGTAACTCTTTTTTTGGCAGGCCCCATTTTTTAGGTACACTGTGTGCAGTGCCAGTGCACGGTAAAAAAAAAGAGATTACTGGAAACAAACAGCTAAAAGAACCATAAACAGAGAACCTATGATTTCACTTTGGACGTTGAAGTCAAACTTGGTACATTCCTCTTTCATTTCTTTACTGAGCAAATCTGACTCATTTACTCAAACTCATTTTAAGACTCATTCATGTCCTATTCCATTTTCCAAGCTTCTCCCAAAAGGCCAAAACAAGAAAAAAAAATTCCCCATCATCCAAACTCACCCTTACTTAATTTGGACACAGCTAGAGGTACATTATTTTTTACAAAGAAATTTGATAGAGTTGAATAAAATAATTTTTAGGGCTACAAACACAATCCTACCACAAGTTTCAAATTCACCGCAATTAATTTTTTTTTTAAAAATACAAAGTAAGGTTGCAGGAATTTGAAAAACACAATATAAAAGGTTGGTTTGATCATATATTTATATATGCACTTGTTTTAGACCAAAAAAAGAGATGAGTTACCTGGGCAAAATTGGCAAGGACAAGAAGGGGGAAAGTGGCAAGAATGAGAAGTGAGACCCTCCACTCCACAATGAAAGCCACAATGAAGGAGGTGAGGAGAGAGGTCATATTTTGCAGTACCACAGAGATCCTCTCGGCTATGGCGGACTTCGCGTCTGCAGCGTTTCGGGCTAACCGACCCGCTAGCAGACTCGAATTGTTCTCCTCCTCGTCAAACCACCCGACCTCATTCCGTAGAATTGCTGCACTTATTTAGTAACACTCGTTCTTTAATGATAATTGGGAAACGAACTAAAAGTTAAACGTTGTCGTTAGATAAAACCATTACCTGCAAGCATCATCCTTCTCACCCTGGTGGTAAGGTTCTCCCCCATAATGCTAAAGAAGTAATGCTGGACCAAGTAGGCAACCACCGCGTATAGCCCGATCCCGACGTAAGAAAAGACGTACGCCTTCGTCTTCCGTTCCATGGTTTCCGGTTCCGTGTAGTAGAACACCTCGATCATGTTCCCCATCAGGATGGCGAAGGCCGGGCTGATGAAACCCGACAGCAACGAACCGACGGCCCCCGTCGCGGCGTAGGGCCACTCGGGGGCGTTGAGCTTGAGGAGCCGCCAGAAGTACCCTCGCGGGGCCCGTGTTTTCTTCTCTGTCTCTGCGTTGGACACCATCTCTATCCTCCCGTCGGCCCCGGTGCTGTACGAATAGGTGAGGTTCCTCTGGCTCCCCGACCGGAGGTTAAGTGACTTCGTCGACAGGGAGCGGCTCAGCCGCGAGGAGCGCGATCGGTGGTGCGTCGGCCTGTTCGGGCAGTCGCGGGCCGCCGTGGATTCATTGAATCTTATAAGGGAAGCGTAAGCCCCGCCGGGGTGAGCCGAGAGCTCATCGTGGGTCCCTGTCTCCACGACTTTCCCTTGGTGGAGGACCACAACGGAATCGACGTTTCGAACCGTGGAGAGGCGGTGGGCGACGACCACCGTCGTCCTCCCGACCATGAGACGGTCGAGAGCTTCCTGGACAATGGTCTCGGAACCAGCGTCCAAGGCGCTAGTGGCTTCGTCTAGCAGGAGGATCTTCGGGTTCTTGAGCACAGCTCTCGCGATCGCAATTCTCTGCTTCTGGCCGCCCGAGAGCTGGACCCCACGCTCTCCGACCTGGGTGTTGTAGCCTTCCGGGAGGGAGGAGATGAAGCCATAAGCATTGGCAGCAACAGATGCAGCCTCAACTTCAGCCATGGTTGCATCGGGCTTTCCATAGAGTATGTTCTCAACAATGGTGGTGGCAAACAGTGCAGGTTCTTGGTTCACCAATCCAATCTGGTCTCTCAACCAACCCAACTGCAGCGTCTTTATGTCCACATTATCCAATAAAATTTCACCTACACACAGTCCAGATAAGTCTCGGTCTTAACCACAAGTTTGAACTTTAAGTTTAAGAGCTTAGTCAATTACCGTTTGTGGGATCATAAAATCTTTCAATAAGTGAGATGACGGTGCTCTTCCCGGAGCCACTACCGCCGACAACTGCCACCGTCTTTCCAGCGGGGAAGGAAATGGAGAAATTTCTAAAGATTACGACGTCAGGTCTCGACGGGTAGCTGAAGGTCACATCTTTGAACTCAATGTCTCCACGGATGAGAGCCAAGGTTCTCCCGTAGGTCGGGTGTCGAACCATCGTCGGTTCTTGCTTGATAATCTGTGCCAATTTGTACCCAGCCACTTTCCCTTTACTAAATGCCCCAAGGTTGGAAAATGACTGCCCCAAACTCCTGCAATGATTTGAGCTTTTGGTTAGGTTGATTTATTGAGACTCCGGGAAAGTTGTGATAATTAAGAGAACCTTACATGCCACCGACAATGGCGGAGAAGATGGCAGTGAAGGCCTTTCCGCCGTCCGCCTGGCCGTTACGGATGAAGACGCCGGCGTACCAGAAAACGAGGGCCCACGACATGCAAGCGATTCCATAGGTACAACCTAAGCCCAACCCTTTGGCCATCCCGGCCTTATATCCCAGTTTTAAGGTGTTCTGTATTGCATCTGAATATGAGTTCAGAGTTCTGCTCTCGCCAACGTAAGAGTACACTGTCCTAACTTGTGCAATGGCCTGCACTTTTTAAGAAATCACCACAAATAAGAGAAAAACATAGGCAGTAATACTTATCTTCAAAATAAAAGTCCCGTGATTTATCCCTAAAATACGAATTTGCACTGTGACAGTATGGCACTATACAGTGTGATTACAAAAAGGAAATGGAACGGGAAAGAATTGAAGAATGGTGTGACCTGCTCGGCAATGACGCCGGCGTTGGCGTATGACTGGCGGCTCTTGGACGTCAGGCCGGTGAGAGTATAAGCATAGAGGCCGCCGGCGAAGGCAATTCCCGGGATGATCGCCACACTCAGCAGCGCCAACCGCCACGCTGACACAAAACCCACCGCCAGTCCCGCCAAGAACGTGGAGAGGTAATGTATGAAGTTTCCCACCTAACAAAATTTCCAAAATCAAATCCAATATTACCTTTGGTACCCGAATTCAAAATAAGGAATTGAAATGGGGGATTTCTCATTTTGTTTGGTAGCACAAAAATATGTTGATTTTGAATTGCTAGTGCCAAAAGTGTTTTGAAATTGGAGAATTCAATTTCATTCAAATCAATTTTATAGAATTTTAACTCTCAATTTAATTCTAATTCCATTAATTTTGTGTATCAAACATGCCCAAAATGAAATTGGTGATGCCATACTAAGAGAGAAGTACCCTTTTTTAGAACAAAGAGGAGAAATACCAAAGCAAACTAAAATAGGACATTAGATATTTTGATACAAAAAGAGGATTCAAAATGTCAATCCTTATGATTTTGCGTTATAAAAATAATGTCATATTTCATTTTTCAAAAATTTAATATTCAAAGATGGCAAGAAGTTATGTTGATTTGTACATTTTTATTTATTATTTGATAAAAAAAGTATTAATAAAGTCAAGAAGGATAAGTACTTAAAAAATAAAAAACTTGTGGTCTGATTTTAATATAAATTTTACTCCGTATATTTTTAGTCCTAATTAGATACTCCGTCTAATTCTATAACAAAAACTCGTAAAACTTTTATTTCCAACAGAACACTTCCACTTTCTGTTAAAAAACCACTTTAACCTTACTTTTTCATATCATACTTATCACATTATATTTTTTTCTAATAATGTATCCATCACATCTTAATTTTACTCATCAACAAACGCAAAATTAGAAATCAATTATAATTTAAAACACTTTATTTTTACATTTGGTCAAAATAGAAACTCTTTTTGAGAATGGAGGAAGTACTTAATAATATCTAGATAGAGGAATAATGTGTAAGCATTAATTTGAATAATGAACAACAATAATAACTAATGTTCCTCTATTTGTATATTCAAAAAGTGTTTTCTTCCGTAGAATTCTCAGGTAGCAAAAAAAAAGAAAGAAAGAAAGAAAGAAGAGCAGTAACTGTGGTACCTTCTCACTGATAGCATCCTGGACAAGGAGGGTATCGGTGGAGACGCAAAAGACGATATCTCCGGTCCGGGCGTCGGTGTCGAAGAAGCCCACGTCCTGTTTCAGCACCGCCTCCAAATACCTCCGCCGCCACTCTCCCGCCTGCCTCTCCCCGCTGTACATCCAACACCCTATCTCTGCACCCCATTCTCAACTCTGTTATAATATAATTTCCCCCGCCCGCATGGGTAGCTCAGTTGGTCAAGAGCGTGAAATCTTGGACCGATGACCAGGGATTGAGTCCCGCAAGCGGCAGCGTGGGAGTTATCCAAAAATCCCATAAAGGGTGAGGAGGCTCCTTGTGCGTGGTGAGCACGGGTCTAGCGTTCTTGGCCGACTGAGTCACCATGATTTACATTCTCCACCATTCCTGTCGGGCAAAGGAGTGGGGGCGCCTGGGGTGGGCGATTCCACCTTTTGGACCGATAATATAATTTCCCCCATTTTTCCCCCATTTTTCTTTTTTTTTTCAAATGTCAAGATTCAACTTTTTTTACTGGCCACTGTTATTAGCAGCTACAGTGCGGCGAAAAAAACGACATTAGTTAGGAAACCGAAATTTCACTGTGGAGACATGAACAGAGACAGAGACGTTTGATGGCGATTTTATTTTAATTTAATTTGATTTTCTCCTAATTTATTATAGTTGATGCTTTGGATATGAATAAATTAAATAAGTATTCTTAGATAAAAGACATAAAGGACGGTCCGCGGACCACGTGCAACCCGCGCGGGCCAAACGCAGAGAGAGCGGCTTAACCAAGGAATCGAATATAACAAGACAAATTACAAAGCAATGATTTTCTTTTTTCCCAAAATCCTATTGAATTACTCGCTCAAAAATGATTTTTTTTAATAGAAATTAAAAAAGTTTTTTTTGGAGAGATGAAAAAATGGAAGAAGAAAGATTTTCAGTTATCACATCAAGAATTGTTTCTAGCAATTTGAATCAAGTAAAGACTCGATTCTTTTGGTTGATAATCCGGAAAAAATTAATTTTTACATAGAAAAATGGTGCGAAAATGGAAGATGCAGAAAAGCTTACCGGCGTAGGAAGATGCACAAACGATGAGCCCAAGATACACGAAATACAGAGCATACTGAAATTGAAAAAAAAGAGACTGAAATTCAGATCTGGGTTTAAACAAAGACTGCTTAGAAGAAAAAAAGAAATGGTTTTTTTTAGTGTGGGTGTGGAGAATCTGGTGGTGACTGACCATGGAGACTTGGTGGGTCATGGTGTGAAAATCGGACTGGTTTTGGCCGAAGCCATTCACCATTTGGCCGAAGAGGAGGAAGAAGACGGGCATTGAGCAGCCGTGAACGGCAGCGCCCAGGCTGCCCAGGAACATCAGCATCCAGTCGAACTTGTCGGCGAAAGAGAACAGCTTGTAGAACGGAATGCCCTGTTCCGGCTTCTTTCTCTCCGCCTCCACCGTTGGCTGTTTCGCCTCCGTTGATTCGGCCATCTGAACGCGTCTGGAGTGCGGACTAGTATGTATAGGACTCGCGCGAAAGGCTATATCAGTTTTCCATTGAGACAATTAAAGTCCTCCGGAGTTGCAGGGTGAGGGGGGGCCGGTCGCCGGCGAGAGAGATGAACTCCGCCGGGAAAGACCAAGGGTCAGAGAATAAAGAAATAGGAAAGGGAGGGTACGCCGGTACGGTACAATGAAGGAGAGTTGGTTGGTTTGTACTCCGCTTAAGATATTGTTATAGGGTGAGCTGCTTGAATTACTGCCTTAAAAGGTCCCAAGAAAAAGGTACCCTATTGAACATTGAAAAATTGATTGAAACATATACTACTTCCTTCCCACTATCTTTGTCTACTTTTGACTTTTGGACTGTTCATTTAAACACTTTGACTCATTAAAATCTCTCAATGTGTAAGCCTAAATATAGTCATGCGTGATCTTGTTTGATTTGTCTTAACATATAGATTATTAATATATAATTTCTATAATTTTTTAATATACAAATTACAAGATAAAATGGATTAAAGAAGTGCATTAGATAATGTGCCAAATGGTAAGTGGACAAAGACAGTAGGACGGAGGGAGTAGTTCACAAATTTCACAAACTTGCCTTTTGTGGATTTTAAATTAAAATATCTTTTATTATTTGATTGCATCTTATTTCTAGAAAAGTATTAAAAAGACAAGTTTGTAAATTTTGTGAACTGTTTGTTTGTGACTCTAGCATTACTCTAATTTAAAATATTGCACTGTTAATCCTAAAATGCTAGATAAAGAGCGTGTTGCTCCCACGCACTAGAATTGCAATTCCATCTAATACCATTCGTAAATTTGAACATGTATACGTAAATATCAATATATGCACACACAAACACTTACTTTTGGCGATAATTTAGATCCTTGATTTAATAAATATTTTAAGTATTGAATAAAAATTTGCTTTTTATGCACAATGTATCCGAATTTATTATTAATATATTGATATATCATATTCTTGTGGACCACATGGATAAAATACTACTCCCTCCGTCCCATAAAACTCTTCTTATTTGAAAAAAGGCACATTCTTAAAATGAGTAATTTTGGTGTTATTTTCTAATTTTGTCCTTACCTCCTAAAAGTGTAGGATGAGATGTGTAAAATAGATTAGTCATAATTAAAAAATAACACTAAATTACTCATTTTAAAGGCGTGTCATTTTTGAAACAGGAAAAGTTTTATGGGACGGAAGGAGTTATATGTAAGAAGACTTAGGCTCAAAATCCACATGTACAAAATTTTTTTAATAACAAGTATATTTTGATTTATCAAGAGAAAGGTACATTCCGTAGAACCATATTTTTTGATGGACAAGTATAAACTATGTAATGAAACAATTAGAGTAAAATACAACATGACGTACACTATTGTCATGTAGTGTTTGTTCAATTTCATTTTTTGTAATAAAAATGAATAAAATTTGATTATTAATTAAATGAAATTTATATTTGCTATTAGTTTAAGCATAATTTTATTATCCTTCAAAAAATATAATTTTTTAAAATTTATTATATAAAATACGTTTAAAGTATTATCTTATGTGACTAATATAACATGTACTTTTTATAATTTTATTTATATATAAATAACGAAATAGGTACATTCAAAAAGCATAACTCCCTAAAATATTTACTAAAGTGGAATATAATTAAATGAAAAAGAGGACAACATGATAAACATAATTATGTGGCTATTATAACTTCTTCATGGTTGTATATTTGTATATCCATGTCATTGGGGAAACGTCCAGCCCAGCCCAATTATTTCTTTTTCAAATTTGAAGTCTGAAGGGCCCAGTATCGCCATGTTTCTTTAAATAATCTTATTCCAAAATTTATCTAAAAAACGCTGTCAAAAAAATAATTTTAATATAATAATAAAATGTCAAAGTGCCAATAACCTTAATGATTATTTAAGTATATATATACTATGTATGAAAGACCAAACTATGACTAAAACATTGAAAATATACCAAAATAGGACTTCCATGTTTTTATTCCCGAAATAGGACATACATTACCAAACATGGTCATATACATTACCAAAAAAGTATAGTAATTTGCACATGTACACTGTCACATTACCACAATGCAAAATTACATTACCACAGTGCAAAGTCTTATTCCGAGAAAACAAACATGAAAGTCCTATTTTAGCACTTTTCTCTATGTTTTAGTCCTATTTATGATGATTTCTAATAAATTGGGATAGGGATTATGGATTTATGGAGTATGACAAATAAATACACTTTAATCTTTTGCAACATTCAATCCCAAAGTGAACATTTAAAATTAGAACTTGTTCTCTTTCATTTTTAAAAGTAAATCCGTAGAAAAATCATTTTTATATTTTGAATACTTGCAATAAGATTTCAAGGGGTTTCTTAATCATATAAAAACTTAAAATGATGCATTTATTTTAAAATGAAATTAACCAAGTACGAAAAGTGAAAATCAATCCAATTTGCACTTAAGGGTTTTAAATGATGTCACATCTTATTGTGAATTACTTTTGAATACATTTAAGAAATCGTCCTAATAGTCAATAAAAAAAGCTTCAAACATTCAAGAATAATTTAAACTCACCTAAGAAATCATCGGAATTATGTGAAAAAATCAAATCATAGAAATAAATTAAAGTCACAAGTAGACAATATATTTCATCTTTTTTTTCTAGCTAGCTAGCTTGGTATGAAGTTTGGCCTAATGGTGTCATAAAAGAGTACTTTTTTATTGGAATGGAGTAAATTTTATGTACAAAAACTCTTGAACACTACCTCAACTACTTAAATTGTGACATACAAATAATCTCAAAATTAAAGTTTTTTTCATATTCTTTACACATGTCTTCGATCTCTTAAAGACAATTTCGTTTGTCTCCGCGTCGGACCGTCTCCAAATATTCAAATACAACGATAAGCGGCAATTGTTTGAAGAATCCGCGATGCTCTGAAGTAATATCCATAATGATGCTAGACAAGAGTTGTATGCATGCCTTCATCCTTCATTGCCGGCACTCTAAATAAAAATTTGATTACATTTCTTTTAGATACGTTTGAAAATTTTGAACTATTATTGGATGTCAAAATAAAATAATCATCCAATATTTATTCATAACAGACTACTAGTGTAATTTGTTTACACTAATTGATTTGAGACACATGCGGTACCTTATTTGTAAAAATATTCGTAAAAACGATGATTCTTACCCCCTACCTCTCCCCTAAACCCAGCACCCCTGCCCCCTCCCAGCCCGACCTAGCAATATATTGTGGCACTTCGTTTGGAGAACCTACACAGCTGCACCAGTTCGTTTAGAATACCTACAATACCCTAAAGTGAGGTGCAGGGGTGGGTGGGGTTTATGGGAAGGCTAGGGGAGTCAATTCCAATTTTGTTTATGTATAATATTTACCTTAATTTATGTTTTAATTTTAAAGTAAACCACAAAAGATGACGTCAAACCTTAGATATAGCCAATTAATTGCGCAAGCAAATGATGTTGTGATGATGTGGCCGCTCGCCGAGAGGGGAGGCAGGTAAAATGGGCCGGCGCACGAGCAAGACGGAGGCAACGTGGCCGGCGGCCTCTGCCGAGAGCTTCCTGAAGATCTCGGCGGCGTTGTCCTCTCCGATGTTAGAATCTTCGGCCCTGATCTTCAGAACCTGGCTGTGAACGCACTCAACATCGTTAGCGACCTCTTTCTCGCCCTTGTCGCTCCACCGCCTCCGCCGCCACGTCCCCGCGCTCTCCATCATCGTGTCTCCGGCCACCACGGTCGGAAGTCTTTCCCGGTGACGGAAGAGAGAGAGAGAGAGAGAGGTTGTTGGGCAGTTGGGCTCTCTGCTTCATGCGGATCGGTGATGATGACTGTGCCCGATATTTAAGGAGAGGGGAGTGGCGGGAGAAGGAGACACGTAGGCATCACGGTGATGTTTTACCACGTCTTCTACGGGAGGACACGTGTACGGTGATGCGAGACGCGTGGGGGCCCACAGCCAGCATGCCCATTTGACGTTACAGATTGCAATTAGGGTACGTGGGAAAAGTTGCAATGTCTGGAGCAGATCTATAAAACACCCGACTTCTTCCTCTCACGACACCTCACCTTTTGTATTTTCACAAACATCTTTTTTGTTTTTTTAACACAATAAAGCCTTTAATTACGGGGCCTTTTTTTTTGTTTCTTCACGAGCCTAACCTTTTTATTCCAAAATTAAAATTTGTATTTCTAAATATTGTACTCCGTATTTATCAACTTTGATATAAAACCACTTTTACTTCTTCGGGACCACCAATCAATTTTCCTACCAATTTTCCAATTGCAATGAGATATGAACAAAACATTTCATTGCATGTTTACATACAAAAGGAGCCACAAAATTATTCTAGAATGTACTCAATTTTTTAAAGATAATTCTCAAGTTTCACATTATCTGAAATATACTCAAAGATATACTCAATTTTCTTGTAAGAACTATTAGAATCGACACTATCTGAAATATACTCCGAAATCCTTAAAGTTTGTGATATTATACTCTAAAGGTACATTCTGTTCATTTAGGTATTAAAATTGAAAATTCTTTTACTTTAAGAAATTATATAATTTTATTTAAATTTAATAAAAATAATACTTATCCATATAAACCGGCAAGGTTCTATTGACACTGTCATCTAGTATCAACGGATGATACTCGCTTATTTCAAGCATCTCCGCTGCTCCATTACCTATGTTGAAATTTCGATGGGTCGAGTGAACTGGGCAAGTGGTGGGTGAGATTTGATCACTTGCTTACATAAAGTCCAGATCATCTTTCTATCTAAAAGCTTGGGCTAATGAATAGAGCTTCACATTCTCTCAAGTGGTAACTAGTCTGGTCTAGTCACTACTTGGACGAATGAATGAGTCTAGCATCTCAATCTCTTTATAACTACACAGTGAATACTGGGATGAATCGAAACCGAACCAAACTTGGCTCTGATACCATGTTAAAAATCATGATTATTCGTGAAAGAGAGAAATAGAAGAACAGTGAAATGTATAAGAAATTCATCTTTGATTGAAGATTTTGTTCAACTAATTACGCAGAGAAACTATGGAGAAATATATACAAAGGGGAAAGAAGGACTAACGGAATCATAACAACTATAACCAACCAAAACAAATCAATTAAGCTATTCCAACACTAGCCCCAACCCACCCCCTAAACCCCCCACCGGACCCCACTCCAATCCCACTCCGCACCCACACCCTAGACCTCCTTTTACCGCCTCCAAATGTGTGGCCATTATGAATAAACCTAATATATACTCGGCCCAATAGCGATCCAACCACTCTCCCTGGAGATGTTCATCGGTATAGTCGTCTAGAGATTAACACAAATTTAAATGACAATGTTAGTATTTGTAATTCTACCAAGTTAAACATACATTGTCATGAGTTAAATGGAGTTCTTATTATTGGAGTAAAAAAAATTTCATGTCTTACAATTGTAAACCTGAGTTTATGATTGAATGAGTTCCTAATTTTCGTTAGATACATGAATTGCCAGAGCCAAATGTACACCATAATTTGCATGGTTACATGAGTCTTGCACAACTTTTTACAGAGTCTTTCCATCTTCTGGATATTTGTCATCATAATTCCTATATTTGCATTTTTTTACTTGTACTTTTTTCTATGTCTAGGAGAACACACTACGGTCAGGCTACTCGTTTAAGCCCAAAGATCTGACCATTTCTTAACAGAATTTGGGGGAAAAAATAAGGCACGAAATTTTGATCCTAAAATGTGCCTTTGGAGAGTTCAAGGCCAATTACGTTTTTGAAAAGATGTCTTTTTGCTGGCATGTGGCAAAAAAATAAGCACAATTTGCTCAATTGGTGACCTATTTAGCTTGAGTAAACATCCGACATTATTTTTGCGATGAAGTTGTTGGTTGCCTAGTTTTAGTAGTGTGCCAAACATGAAATCACAAACACCTCACCTTAACAAAACTAACATAGATAAGATAATCTCAGAAGTACCCAAAGACGGCTTCAAGCATCCACATTGACAAATATCCTCTCTGGCTTTGAATGATTTTAGAGTTCTAATGAGTCAACAATAACACTCACTAACAGTCACTTCTCGACATCGAAATTATGAAAGCGTTGCTAGGAACAAGTGCCTCAAGATGATGATGATGCACCTCATTCCTCGTCCTCCCCTTCTTCCTCTTCTTCCTCCTTTTCCTGCTTCACAAATATCAACTTATTGTTATATACACCTGCATAACAAATTTCTGAAAGGAAAATGCTACTTTTAACCCAGGCTGACACCATTAAAGACAAAACAGTTTCTGAGAAATTATGAAATTATTGTGTGATGGTGTCGGCCTAGGTGTCATACAAGGTGTGACTGTAGTATGGTACTTTCTGAAAAGTGACAGCTTTAGCAGCCTTTCATATAACCAATTTCAACGATGGATTTAAAGGTCTACCGAGTTTTTAATCTGTACTTACTTCTTCGTCATCCTCATCTCCGTCAGTATCTTCCTCATCCGCTTCCTGCAAAAAGCAAACGTACACTGTTGATGTCACTAGCTCAAATAAATGGGTAGATAACAATTAGAGAGTGGGTGCTTTAAGGTTGAAAACTTCACATTGTTGAAGTATTTCAAAGGATTGGGCCACAGGTCCTCCTTGATGATCTCTGCAACCTGTCATTGACGTTGCGAAAAGCAAATTAGTTTAAATCTTTACCACTGTTCATTGAACAGAGATTTCTCTGGCTAATGGAAACAAATGTATGAATGAAACTAGAAGGAAAAATGGCTTCACATATGGAATCTACCTCATCACTGAAACCATCAGCGATATCTTTCTGCTGTGTTTCAGTGAACCAAGTGAAAAAGCTGCATCGAATGAGAAAAATGAGTTCAGTAAAAAAAGTTGAATTGTACACAAAGACTGCCACACATGGAGAATATTTCTAAATACTTCATGTTTGTATAATTACTCCCTCTTGTCCAAAATTTTATTCCAACTATGTCACTTTGACTAGGCACGCTTACTAAGAAAAATGGAATCATGTGGTTGTGTTTCATTTTGAAGAGGTTATAAACAATATAAACCACACAAATCATTCCTTAAATAGATTTGGAAGATAATTTTCAGAAATGAGAAGGTTAAGTTTTGGGGCAGAGGGATAATTTATCAGACCTTTTAGCTATATATTTGTGTACATTGTGCCCCCTTGAAAAGAATTTCTGGGTACACCACTGGCTAGCACTTGCATATGCATAACACCGATTATAACTTGTAGCTTATATGGTGCAAATTGGGAGTTCGAGTGATGTAAGCTTCCTATAACTTCTGCGCTAATCTAATCACATCCACATTGCACTAAATAGGTTCTAGACATAGTGTCATAGACACTTGATAAAAGAATTGGCAAATCAATTCAAACTAAGGGCCCAATTGATGGACTTTAGTATTGATTTGTCTGCTTTATAGTGCTTTCTTATTCAGTTCTTTCACCAAACACTAACTACTATCAGTGTGTTGGCTGAATTGAGTGGCGATGAAAACAAGTAATGCAAGGGATACTTTTTTTCTGCTAATCGATGAATTGATGGAATTGATATTTTTAGCTTTATTTATAAATACTTTTTTCATTGATTTCTTGAAAAAATATGCTCTGTATTGTTAAATAACATTTTTGAAATAATTCGGCAGATTTGGCAACTTTACCCATTTTGAGCCTTGTGTAATTATGAACTGTTCTTTTTCATCATCCAGGTGCAGGTAAAACCATAAATAAAATCCCAAATCTCAAACAAGGGCAGTCATATTTGTCATTTATTTACAGCTCAATGCTCAAGAAAATTGAGTGACACATACCTCTCTTCAGGTGGTGGGCGTTTGTTTCCTTTCTTATCATGTTCACCTCCATTTGCAATGCCCTTCCATTTATAAACACATAATATAAATCAGAGAGAAATGCCTTCAATTCTTAAAAACTAGGATCAGTTCTAAACGTAGAACAGAGTTTACAGCTGTAATCATTACCATGCCTTCCTTCCACTTAATGTCCGTACCCGTTATTTGTGTTGTTCCCTCCTCATGAAAGGTAAATGTCTTAACAAGTTTTGCATCTTCAAAATAAGGATTTGTCTTGAAGTTCTGAAATATTTTTGCCAAATCAATAAAAGCTAAGAGCACAAGAGTATCAACGCATATCTAAAATTGATAATACGGAGAGACCTAGAGCATATTACAACAAACTTACAAAAGTTATGGAGTAGCCAGATGCCACATCCTTGAAGTCCTCCACGTATAAAGAATCAAAGTACTTGAAGATCTAGGATAAGGGAAAAAGAAACAAATGGTGTACTTGTATTACTTTGATGTTGGTCTTATTCTGTATAGAAGAAGATGTGACACCTTCCACGCACATATGAATACATTAAAGCAACAACAAGAAAAGGAATTCCTCCAATTAAATGTATGGCATGCAACAATCTATAAACTGGATGAAGCATCCCAAGTTAAAAGATAAAGATAAATGAGCTTAGATTTTCAGGAAAAAAATTGCAAACAGCAAACCTTCTGGTCTTCCTCACTCAAAAGATCACCAAGTGCAGGATGACTCATGAACTGCAAAATATATTGCATAACATAAAATCAGATCCCTAAATTCATAATTGACCCATTCATGTACAGTAACGTATTACCCCTTGAAGAAAAATAGAATAGTGTACTCACAGCAGTCAACCAAAAGTCAGGAATAGATTTAATAACTTCATTCCGTTTATCATAAACAGGCCTTCTTATCTCATTATACTTCTGTTCGACTTCCAATACCTCATCACTTGCTTGCTCATTCACCTGCATAGCAACCAAGATTGAAAAACAATTACAATTACGAGAATGGGTGAATTAGTTCATATATTTCGAAGTTAAAGTGATAGAACCATAAAAGAACTCTCTGAGTACGTAGTATTTCCTAGTCCTGTCCATCCATTTCATATGTCATAGGCATATTTCCATAAAGACCTTGAAATCAAGTACTTCATTTATTTTATTTTACTGGAACCTGTCTGATATAGAGGTTAGTGGCTTAACGACCTTAAGATGCACAATTTAGAAAATGAATACTTTCTTATAACAGCAAGTGCTGGAAAGAATTTTAATTGAAACATCCCACAGAAAAAAATTATAAATGTCACATAGGCTGTATGGTTTGCGTATTAAAGATCAAAGAAACTGATGACCATCCTAGACGTGACAAAGCATATGGGTTTAGATCGAAAGTTAGTCATGGCATTAGGTAACTAGTTTTTACAAACAATAAGAATTCAAATTTCATTCATGGGTTAATCCTATTTAATGACAGTTACTTACACAGCAACGCTCAATTGTTCCTCATAACTTGTTATGCAAATGTCTTGTGTCATGAATACTACTTGCCTATTATTGCATAGAATTCAGCAACTAAACAAGTCTATAGCGCACAGCCCATAGAGGCATAGACAACCGTGATATGAGCATTTGTTAACCTCACTTTACGTGGTGCCATAGTTGGTCCAAAATGTGTCATTGAATCTTGACTCTTGAATATGTGGTATCGTTGGCATAACAAGATTATTAGAGTTAAATAAGCAGCAAAGAATATGAAAGTGTGCACACAGATCCAAAACAAGAATGTGTTTTCATTCCTTTGCAAAAATTCCTATTTAAGGAGGTAGCAATAGCACATTGAAATGCAGATCCTATAACATCAAACCCTATGACATAGTATTATGTTTGCTACATGAACCTATAAACCTATAAATATCACATACCTAATACTAGGCATGGGGGTATGGCACATGGACCTACTGATCCTATAAATATCAGGCAAAATTAAGAAGGTAAGTAGGAAACTATAACACATGGAACTAATGATCCTCTAAGTATCTGAGATCGGCCATGGTATTGAGTTTGGCAAAAGATACAAGATGACTCATTCTCTTACTGGACTTATGCATTATAACAAGAACAAAACCGTTGAAATACATGACTTGGAACTATCATCATACTCTGCAAATAATTGGTTGGGTTTTAGAACATTTAAGGTAAATACTGAAAGATGCTTAGAAGATTAGACTCGTTTTAGTGAGAGGAAATAGTGGCTAGAATCAAAGAAAAGCATATCACAGCCCTTAAAGCTGACAGATACATCAAGAAAAGTGGAGGCACTAATTACTTAATTGACAGTTAAGGTAAATTCTCCTTATTTTAGGTAAATACTGAAAGATGCTTAGAAGATTAGACTCGTTTTAGTGAGAGGAAATAGTGGCTAGAATCAAAGAAAAGCATATCACAGCCCTTAAAGCTGACAGATACATCAAGAAAAGTGGAGGCACTAATTACTAATTGACAGTTAACAATTTAACATCAATGATTTGCAGCTTGCAAGTATGGTAAGTTTAATTCTTACCATATAAAGAATTGTATGAAGAATTTATATTCAACCAAAAAAAGAAAATTCTCCTTATTTTTTGCAATTACAGATGAATTAGCGCACAGAAATCATGAAACAATGCCAGTTTTACTCATGCCTCTGTTCACAGTGTCCTCCCTACCCGATCCCTAAGGAATCATTACAATTTACATATAAACAGCGTCTACATTAACAAAATTGCGATAGCAAGATATACCAGAGCAATCATACGAGCGAAAATACAGTACATAGAGCATAACGAGAGCGTAAAGAGCGGTGAAAGGAAAACCTTCTCGAGCTCATCTTGGACCTCCTGAAGCTTCTCAACGGAGACAATCAGGTCCTGGTCAATGCGATTGGAGTCGTCTTCTGGGGCAGCGTCGGATGCCTTCGATTTCTTGCCGCGATCCGCCACCATTTTGCTAAACCCTAGCTGCCGTGAGGAGCCGATTAAACCCTAGCGCTCGACGGAGTAGGAGGACGAGGCAAAGAGGGAGAAGCGACTCAAGTGAGGGTTGAAAGGAAACTTGCCACGAAAGTTTATTGTCAGTAACCTCTGGTCAGTTTGGTGTGCGAAATTTTATTTGGTCAGAAAAAAAAAACAAATCCGATTAATGGGCCCTGCCGCGGCCCGAAATGATTGTGATCTGTGAAGGACATTTGTCCATTTGGCGTTTCACAAATATGTAAATGTTTAATTAAATTTGGTTTAAAAAAATTGGTTTAATTTAAATCTTGTTTTTTATATTAGAAAAATTAATTTTCAACTTCTTCCCTTCCTTCCAACTTTTTTTATGGTATGTTTGGGAACATGGATTTGAATTTCAGATTCGGATTCGGCTCAAATTCCATATTTGGAAAACTTAAAAATTTTGAATTTGGATTTGAGTCAAATTCTTTTCTTTCATAACAAAACTTAATTTCAAACTCATGCACCTCCCCTTGTCATTTGAAATTTAAGATTTCAAATTTTGGAATTGAAATACATAAATTAAAATGAAATGCTAGTTGTCAAACACTACATTAGTTCTTTTGAACTTTTTCCAGTTTATTCTAACAACGATTTAAAAAGTATTAATTTATGATTAATATAAATATCATTGTTGTATATTTAAATTCTTAACATATCACCTCAAACACGATCAATGATAGACTCTTTTTTTATGAAATTAAAAATTTCTAACATATTTATTTAGATATTCATTTAATTGAGTGTCTTTTAGATGTTTAAATTCATCCAACATTTTCCAACTCCTTCCAGTTCTTTCTAACTTCTTTCAGTTTCTTCCAACTTGTTCTAGTTTTTTCTAACATTCAACTCTGAAATTTCAAGCCAAAAGAACATTGTCTTAATACCTAATGGTGTAAATTAACCATCCGTTAAACTATTATAGACCATGTCTAGGATAATTTGTTGAGTTTAGAAAAGTAAGAAGCGCAGAAAACAATAAGTGACTGGTAGGACTGTAGGTGTAAACACTCATAGTTCAATTGTTATTAAATCTGAGAATTATACATGGAGAGAATACAATACGAACTCTTATACAGATGAAATTTGGATCTCTAACACTGAAGGTTACAAAGATATTTATAGGAGGCTAAATGGAGACAGGGCGCCGCGCGTCCACGCTGGGCCACGTATCCGGACGGCGCGAGGTGACTGCCCTTTATCCCATAGCGTTTGTCTCATTCCCTTGACAGCTTGTGCTGATTGCAACCCCTTTGGCGCGTAGTACCTTGGATTAGAATATCTAAATATTCTCTACAATCTTTTGTGGGATACGGTCATTACCGTCCAACCATCATTAGATTTACTCATGCCAACACATTTATGCCCGGAAAATCACCCGATTGGTTCACCAGATATGCACCTCACCCAGTTAGTGGACAATTAACGCCAAGTCACGCTATATCCTACCGGTAGGGTTACAAAACCTTATCGGTCAACTTTATCGGCGAATCGGTTCAGGCGTATATTGGTTCAAATCTCCCATTTTGATTTAAACTCAAGTTCGAATCCTCATTTCTCATTTATAGGCGAGATGAAAGAAACAATATTTGATTTTGGTTAATTCTTCTTTCTTAAGATGTTTAATAGTAATCAATCTTTTATGTCTCAATGGAGATTCTACAAATACAATTATGAGATGGAGCATGTAACAATATTGCTTAGGCATATAATGTAAACTTTGATACACTAAGGAGGGTGACACCTCATTAATTATCTTATTGTTTAAAAAAAAATATTTGAAAAGTTTATTATTTGTTGGGAGAAGCTACCTATGTTCTATCTTAGTGTTATCCATTTTTTTATCTCACAATCACGAATTCAATGAATCAATGTTTATGAGAATACAAATAGACTCGGATATGAGATGAGTAACACTTTATGTAAACTATAACAAGCTCCTTATTTGTTATTGCTAATAACAAAGATACGATTCATCCAAAGCTTTTCATCACCCCACATCTTTTCATCCCACGCTGCAAAAAATACACAAAGCTAGTAATAATAATTTGTAAAATACACCATAATTAATTTTATACAATAAACATAAACTAAGTAAAGCAAAACATCATAAACTAATGAGTATATTAAAAACTATCTACAGGGAAAAAAAATTTACTTCGCACCGTAGTACGGAGTATTAATTAAATCCGACTGCTCTTTTAAGGCAATCTTTTGCTTATTTCTAAACTAAACCTACTAGGTACTACTTCTTCCTTTTTAGTATTTATCCACTTCTGATTTTTTGGTCAAAATTAGTAAATTTTGTTCAGAAATTAAATAAAAATGATACTCCGTATTAGATATTGATATAAAAATAGTTTTATTAAATTTATTATATTAAATATTTTTAAAATATTATTTTTTCTAATTAAATAAAGGTACAACGTAACATTTTTAAAATATTTGAAAATAGAAGTTTTATGAGTAATTCTTTATTTTTCTGTTAATGATATGATGAATATATTACTGACAATATTTTGCACTATTCATCACGTACTTTATTTAAAATTCATAAATTAATGTTCGTTAATTAGTTTTATTTTAGGATTGGGAGATCAGTATGTTTTTAGTTTTATTGTTAAAACAAAAAATTTATACTCATATGGAAGCATTATCAAGGGGAAGAAATTGATAATATTATGCTCCGTATTACTCTGTAGTTTTATAAAATATGTATAAATAATAAATTGGTTAAAAATTTAAGTTTTTTTATACAGAAAAAAAACATGAAAAAATCTAAAAACAACAAGGTAAGGCGGCCACTAACTTTTGACAGTTAACGTCGGGACTGATGGGAACAGTGGTAGAAACGCCGCATCCGGCAGGAAGGCCGGCGGCAAGATCGGCCTTGATGGGTGTGCGGGCGGCGGCAGCCTTGAGGCACTCACAGGCGGTCTGGCGTTCCTGCTGCGACGGGGCTATGCTGACAAGGCTTTTAACGGCGTCACAGCACTCCCTCGGAGGAGCGGCGGCGGCGGCGCCGTCTCGGAGGTAGGTGAGGCAAGGGGAGATTGCGGAGTCAACCTGAGTGCAGTCGAGGGCGTGTCCGGGCACCGCCACCGCTAGGACGGCGGTCGCCATAGCCATTATTATCATTGCTCGGTTCATTTTTAAAGTATTGAGTGAATTGAAGGAGTGTGAAAGAAGAAAGATACTCCCTCCGTCCACAAATAAACTTTACGTTCACTATTCACAGGGTCAAACTTTATTCATTTTATTGGCCTATTTTCGTTACCCATTTGATAAAATAATATAGTCATGTCACCTCTAGTTTTGTAGATCTTTTGATATAGTTTTTTAATATGTAATTTTTATTTTTCAGTTCTACACCATTTTTCATATAAAATGATTTGAAAATAACGTTAGTCAAACATCGTAACGCGCAATGTAAAGTTTATTTGTGGACGGAAGGAGTATATATATATGTGTGTGTAGTGAGTCATGAACGAGTAGATGAAAGATCATCATACCAGAGGCCGGCCGAGGGCTCTTTAAGAGATGATTAATGTCACCTCTGATTAGGACTAACGTCATAAAATTATTTAAAGAAGAATTCAGAAACACTACTCTCTCTCTCTCAAATTAAATAATCTTCCATTTTTCCTTTAATTCTTGGATGTCTTTAATTGTTTTAAGGAAAAAATTATAAGGAGAGAGGGAGTAGTGGTAAAATTTTCCTAATAGCTAGTCTCTACATTCATTAAATTGGTTCTTATTTTGACTAATGAAAAAAAAAATTAAGACTCCATATGTATAGTCAGTTTTTTAATTTTGTCATTGATGTGATGAATGACATAATATTAGTGAAAAAAGGATGATATGATAGTTAGAATAAGAATTACTAGGAATAAAAGTATGTTTTTTAATAAAAGTATGTTTTTTACTATCCATTTCATAAATTAATATAGTATTGTCATCACATATATTGTAGAATTTTTATGTAGTTATTTACATTATAAAATTAATTTTTACATTTTACACCTTCAATTAAATAAATTGAAAATAAAATAAAGTCAGTCAAATCTCGTAATACCTAATGAGAAAGATCTATGGGGACTGATGGATTATATGTTTGGCAAAAAAATGGAGATGAAGAAAGTGAAGAAGAAATGAATTTGATTCTAAAATTTGAATTCTTTGAACCTAAACTACATAAAAAACAATATAGAATTATAATAGAAGTTTTTTGGAAATTATAAAAATATGTTTAAATCCAAATTTTATTTATTTTTTATCCTCAAAATGTAATTTGAATTTAATCAAAATTTGAAATCTAAATCCAAGTTTTCGAAGAAGTCATTACAAAATTGATTTGATTTAGGTCTTGTTGTTTCCATCTGATTTGATTCGATCTGATATGATCGTATGTATATTTCCTAAAATTTGTTTAAAGCGGATCATAAGAATAAGGCTTTATACTTTTGAATTGAAAAAAAAAATAATTTTCAACTTTTGTCAACCCTTCTAATTCTTTTAATCTCCTTCGAGCTTCATTCAACAACCACTTATATATGGTGTATATATAATTAATAACATTACATATCTAAATTTATAATATGTCATTTCAAACAGAAACAAGAATGAATTCTTTTTTGTTTATAAAATTAGAGTTTTTTACATATTTATTTGAATAATTATTTTATTGAGTGACTTTTTAACATCTTATTTCTTTTAATTTTTCCTAACTCTTCGAATTTCTTCTAAATATTTCTAATTGTTTTTCAACATATAACTCTGAAATTTCAGGATAGTCTAAATGGGAAAAAATATTTTTTATTTCAACCATTACTAAACTGCACTTCGGCTCTGGCCTCCCCATCCTTCAATCCTATTCGACAATGCATTTCACCCCTTCTTCCCCATCCATTCTCAGGTACTTTCCTTTTCTACCCTTCAATGCCTTCATCTTTACTCACGAGTCATGGCTGCTTCAACTTCAAATCTTATCAATTACTATTTCCAAACAAAGATTAGGTCTTGTTTCAATTATTGTCCAGATTTGAATCACATCTTTAGATGTTCCTTTCATTTGTGTATGTTTACAACGCCTGTGTGAAACGCCGCTCAACTGAATACTGATCATATTTCTCGTTTTGGATGATTTCTTTTGTAATTTCCCCCCTTTTTTTCCTTTCAATTTTTTCGAATATATTTATTTTTATTTACAAGAGTTTGGTTCTTGAATGGAATAGCTCAAATGTCAATGGCAGAGCTTGCAGATCAAGCATCAATTGGTTTTACAATTTATTCATTTATTAAAACATTGGGCATTAAGCTTATTTGCATTGGAGTATTTTCCATAACATTTGCAGGTCGAGTATTTAATTACTCTAAAAATATGTATAAATACGCATTAGCAGATATTAACGATATGCGTATGTGTTTGGTAGAAGCTTTCATGAAGATATTACTGCAATTTTATTTACTATGTATAGAAAATCTTTCAAATTTTCATCATTCAGGCACACTTCCCCATTCTCCTTTGTTTAAATGTGTCTACCTTCGCAATGTGGACCCAACGAAACCATATAATTTGTATTGAAAATCAAAACCGGGTCAATAGTAATAACAATAACAATACTAATCTCTCAAGAGTGAAGCCCAAGGCAGTGCCGATATCATGTTCTAGTTAAAATGTAAAGTTCAATAGAGCACATTGAATTTTGTCCGTTAAGACTACAGAACAACCAGTCTGAATTTATTCTTTGTTATTGTTTGATATTATTCTTTGTTGATGCATCCCGAAGAATTTCACCATAGTGATGCCAGTCATGGCAGAAGAAGCCGAAACAAGCATCTCAGCAGACACAGATGATGGAATTCCAGAGAAAGATGCAAAAGTTTTACAGTTCCTTGATTCATTGGATAGTTATCTTACTCTAATGGACAAGCTATCTTCAACACTTCGCCAGGTATCAATCTTTTTACTCAACCCATTTTCTCTATTTACATTTTTTTTCCAGAATTAGATTGATTTGATTCGGATACCATGGTAGTTGGCATCTTATAAGTTACAATTCATACGATGCAAAAATTAACCCTAGCGATATGAACTGTCTCTCATCCCTATCTTTTAATTCATATGATTGGAATCTCTATAAGGTACAAAAAAACTGAGTGCTAGAATTTAGAAGTAAATCCTTAATTATATTAGTTATGTTTATTCCCTTTCATAGGTCCATGAAACTTAAATGCAAAAAATGTTAGGAGAATATCAAACACAAGAGGACATGTCAGTGATGTAGAAAAGATAATTGAAAATGAAGAAAATGAAGAGCTTGAGAGATCTGAAAAGGAGCAAAAAGTAGTAGAGGTAGAGGATGACCTCAGTACTCACTGATGTTGATCATGGGAGAATGAAATTGACCGGGCAACATAGGATTCTAGTGGATAAACCAGTGAATATGCAGTATCAATATCACAATATGCCTTAGAGACATGTATGATTCTTTTGTTATTTTGATGTATGGCATTATAAGAATGCTGTAGATTGGAAAATGGTTTGAACTTTGAAGGTCAAGTATGATATGTCAACTTGTGTTTTTTGCTAATGCCACTTGTTTTTACTAAAATAAACTATATTTGTGTTGGTCATGCATCCTACAATTCATTATAGGATATGATTTGTGATTTAGAAAACAATTCAAAAAGTGGGTCTTATGATTCATTACTTATATCTCGGATTGACAACCTTGTCGGATACATAATGATTGGTTTGTAGGAGTATAATAAGCATCACTTGATGCACATTTGTAGGTGGTGTCACCATGATCTGAAATGGTAGCGGGTAACATGTCCATATCTTCTTTCTGGCTATAACATATCCCCGTTTGCTGTAGGGCAATCTGGAGTTGTCAAGTGCTCGACTTTCAATGGGCACATCACGCATCAATAGCACATTGCTTGACCTCAAACCACATTCTGCCGCAACTGGATTAGATGTCAAGCATGTGGAAGGTTGACTAATTATTAGAAACAACAAAATGTTATATTTAGGTTTAAAATACAGATAACTTAGCAATTAAAGATTTCATTTCTTCATAGCAGGATCAGGGGATGGTCATGTGTGCTTCAAGTTATGCAAGTGGGCCTATTCTGCTAGTCCAGAAAGTCCATCTATCAAAAGTAAATTAGTGGAGGATGACTTGTTGCATGGTAAATCACACAATCCAGAGCTTGTGCATCATAGTAATTACTCCCTCTGTTTTTCAATCAATTGTTTGAAGGAAAATTGTGGTTTTAGGGTGACAACTAACTGTGTTATAATTTGACAAAGATACCCCCATTTATTTGGCAGGTATACAAAGTAACAGGCAAAAATATAAATGTGTGTGCAGCATAGCCATTTCATTGTGTTTTACTTTTTGGTTGTTATGTCTACAGTCATTCAATTTTCAATGTATAAAAAAAGTCAACTAGACAGTTAAAAAACACAGAGGGGGTAGTTATTTACAAAAATTAACTTTTTTAAATGACAAAATATGCCTCTAGTTAATGGAAATTATTTGAAAAATGGAGAGAGTATTCTGGTAATTACTTGTTTTGCATACTAGTCACTGATTGCTAGATATAGTGTCTCATGTACTTATATATAGATAATCCCAATCATCTGCAACTAAAGCATCTTTTAACATCTGAAATGTAACTTGTATTATACTCCAGAAACACAAGAGAAGAAGCAAGAAAATAACGGGTCTTCTTGTGCACTTGATGACATGGTAAACTATTTGGGCCATTCTCATTTCTATTAATCTATAACTGCTGTTCTATAACATGTATCCAGGTCTCATTTAGAAATTCCCATTTAGTCTTGTATGGCTTCACCATCAAGGACATTGAACTGATGAACTGAGTAGTAGAACTATTTAACACGACTTAAAACTACAATCAATGAAGTAAAATCGGCATCTGCTGTTCACTTCTGCTATGTGCTTTTTCTAGGCCAAGCGAGAAAGATCGAAATCACTATCTATGTTTGGAATGCTGGTTTCTCCAAAACTTCGAGCTGCCCAACTTTCATACGAGACAGGTGATCAAATTAGCCCTCTACCTAAGGTTCACATGTTTTCCAGGATAATGTTGCGGCAACGTGCCTTTCATATTTTTAATGAATACAAAATTCTCAACACCTACCAATGTTTTTTCTTCAAAACTTTTTTTTAATATGTGTAGATAGTGTCTCCATCTAGTCTTTAAAAGCCTCTTTTTTCCCGGAATCACATTAGGACTTAATTATGGTAAAACAAAAGTTTTCGAGTATCGACA